TAGGCTTGCCATATGTTTTTCTTTTTTGACTTATAAGGTTGCAGCTTTGCCATTAAAAGTCTAATGGTTTTTCTGTTTCCTGTGGATCAGTAACGAGCATTCAGTTCAATCCTGTTGATGAAAGCCACTTCATCAGCGGATCTATTGATGGAATAGTACGAATTTGGGGAGTACAGGAGAAGAGAGTTATAGATTGGGCTGATACACGGGATTTAGTTACAAGTGTACGTTACCAGCCAAATGGGAAAGTAAGATCCAGTTCCATATTAGATATATGAATTGGTAAATAATTCAGCTTAGTATTATGTCTTTTGGAAATTGCCCTTGTGAGACGAAACTGACAGGATATTTGTGCTGATATGATGTAAACAGGGTTTTATAACTGGTTTCATCTCTGGTGCCTGTCGTTTTTATGAAGTATCAGGTATGTAATTTATGCATGTCGCTACTGTCGTTTAAATCTAAAATAAAAGAACCCGTTTGTGTACCTTAGGAGCCACTAAGTATGTTTCCTTGTCATGCAGGCTGTGAACTTTTGCTACGCGCGGAGATGCGAATTAGTGGTAAAAAGAAATCCTCTGGAAGCAGAATAACTGGCATTCAGGTTCTACTACTCGTATTCTAGCTATTTTAGGTATGATTATGTATCTCTAGTTTCAATGCTGCTCACACAGGTTTCTCAATTCTTGCAGTTTCTGGATAATGACTCACAAAGGGTTATGATAACATCTGAAGATTCCAAGATTCGAATACTTGATGGACTTGATATTGTCCACAAATACAAAGGTATAAATTCTGTTCATTCTTGTTTGCTGTAAAGTTTCAAGCTATGATCTTCTATTAAGTGTTTGAATACCTCGTTTTCTGTAAAGTTTCACGTAGCACAAGCTGTTTCATACAGCTTTATCAACTACTACGGTTCTAGAAGTGCCTATTTATGTTCAGTAAAAGATTTATAAAATTACTCGAGTCCATATTGAATGCAGTGTATCAAAAGTCTATCTGATATTTTGTGGATCTGCAGTCTTTGAATGTATTTTTTTTTTTATGAGAATAGTATTTGGATGACACTTTAGATTTTTCACTTGGGGATGTATTGGAACCATGTCCCTGTAAGTTGAATCTACATCTGAATTTTTAAATTATAAATGAACAATGAGAAGGAAAATCAAGAATGCAATCATATCATACTAGAAACAAACACAGAGTTATGGCCAATTGATTTTTCACCAGCACATCATCAGCATTTGGTATAGGTTGATTCCCAAATATTACATATACAGAACTTGTGTCATGTACGTCTTGTAGTAGATCGATTCTCTGTAAGTTTGTCTGTCTTGTTAGACATATTGAGTCTTTCAGACAACAAATCTAACTGAAAACTTTTCATATTTTTGCATACATCATGACCTGCAGTATGTGCTTTTGCAGCATTTGGATAATGCTGAGTTTAGAGCTAAGAATGTACTATTAGGCATCCATTTGATGAGCAACTTGTCTGGTTTAACAGGTCTAGCAAAATCAGGAGGTCAGACATCAGCTTCTTTCACTTCAACCGGGCAGCATATAGTATCGGTTGGAGAGGACTCGCGCATCTATGTCTGGAACTATGACAACATAATGATCCAATTATCCAAAGCAAAAAAATCAGCCCGCTCCTGTGAGCATTTTTCCTTTGAAGGTGTATCAATTGCAATACCTTACTCAGGCATGGGGACAGAAAAAAGGAGGGCTGGTAATGACAGCACCTCTGCGTCCTCGCAGACATGTAGCAACCAGAGCTCGTATTCATTGGCTAGAGATCAAGAACGATTTTCTTTAGCTAGTTGGTTCTCCATGGATGTCTCATCAAAAGCTTCTGCAACATGGCCTGAGGAGAAACTACCCATGTGGGAGATACAATATCCAGAACATGATGATCAAACTTGCGACTGCCCTGATGATCATCTTCAACAGCTACATCAGCATCAGAATAACAGCCAAAGTTGTGGGAATTTCCCCGCATCGTGGGGTCTGGTGTTCGTCACAGCTGGTATGGATGGAATGATCAGGACATTCCATAATTTCGGGTTGCCTATGAAGACTTAAAATTTCCAAGAAACAAGAAGACCTGTCTCTCTTGTGGATAGCAAGTTGGCTGACAAGGCCTTGAATAGTGCATGAGATGATTACTTGAGCAGCACGATTTTGCTTGTCTGCTGACTCCTCCTTTCTCTAACAATTAGCTAATTTCTTTGTAGACTAGATTGGAAAAACTGGCCATATAATTTCATTGGCATTTATTCTCAAAATGAAATTGTAAATGACTGTATAAAACCACAAATATCAAAAAAAAGAAAAAAAAAAAAAGAAAAAATCCCAATGCCTGGCTCTTGCTTTCCTTGTACAGTTTGAGGTACCCTAGAATTGCACCTATTTCTTTTAGCTGCACAACCATCCTAGCTTTTTTTTTCTTTTTCTTTTTTTTGCTTCTTGATTTAATTGGAAATGGGATGTTAAGAATGACAAACTAGGAAAGTAAGGGAATTTCAAGGAGAACCTAAAGTGAAATAAGTCCTACTGCTAGAGGAACATCTAAACAAATTTGGTGAACCTTCCAAAGTCTTACTGTAGAAAAGGCAATTCATTAATTTCACATCAGAAGGAAGTGAGAATGCATCGGATACAGACTACAGGAGAGTAATGGAACTGTGGAAGCTGATCCTCGTAGGTAATTATTTAGTTTACCAACGCATGGACATAAACTAATTTAGTTTAGTGTAGGAATAACAAATGAAGTGACACTACAACAGAGGAATTTTACTCTGTCTTATTTTGCTATAAAGCTCTGGTGAAATGTCGCTATATTACCATTTTTAAAACGGGGCTTTTTTGCTAGTAGATGTGGATGAGGCGTAAGTTAGGATCCATGAAAGGAGGTCGAGTCCACCAAGAAAGCTATCACCCACCCCAGAAATTTTTTTTTTTCCCTCGTGGTTTTGGAGGGGCACCAGAAAACTTTTTGATGAAATGCAACTGAAATTCCAATTTTATCCCTTCTCCCCTATCCTCCCTCCTCTTCCTCCTTCTCCCCCTCCTTCTTCTTCTTCCTTCATCTTCCCCTCCTCTCCCCTCCCTTCCCCTACACCCCCTTCTCTCTCATGACCAAATCATGGAGGAGGAATAGGGAAAGGGTGGTGGTGGAAGTGGTATGTGATGGAGGTAGGTGGAGAAAGAAAGAGGTAGGATTTTTTTTAAGTATTTTTTTATGTTATTCTTAGGTGTATTTGAAGTGTCTTTAAGATGTTTTTAAAGTGTTTTTGAAATATGTTACTATAACATTGTGTTTGATATACTAGGGTTTGCATGGGTTAGATAATTTTGGATGTATTTTTGATAAACTATTCTGTATTAATTAGGTATCTTTAGAAGTGTTTTTGAAAACTTTTATGATAACAGTATACGTGAAAAACTTTATAGTAGATGGTTAGGTATTTTTCCAGTGTATTTTTAAAAGTGTATTTTAGGATATTTTTGGAATTTAAAATTTTTTTGGAGTATTTTTTTAAAATTAAAAATAACATCACCTACCATTATCATTCACTGCTATCGGTCACCGCCATCATTTCTTTCCCCACTTCCTTCTTCTCTCTCCTCCCCTCCTTCCTCCTCTCTCTCTTCCACTCTTCTCTCTTCCCTGTTCTCCTCTTCCTTCCCTATAACCTCTTCCACTTCCTTCTCGCTCATTTGGTCACAAGCTGTGATTTGTCTCATGATCAAATATGGTCATAGCCTACAACTAGATATCCGATTGTCGTGGCCACGACTAGACTAGGAAAGGGAGGAAAGGGGGTTGAGAAAGAAGGGAGGAGGAGAGAGGAAGAGAGAGGGGGAGAAAGAGGAAGAAGGAAGGAAATGGAGAGAAAGCAAGAGGGAGGAGAAAGAAGAGGGGAGAAGGAAGAGGCGGAAATGGAGTAGAGGTGGAGGAGAATGATGGAGGAGGGGAGAGGGAGAGGCAGTAGGGGTAGTGGGTGGTGATAGTAAATGGAAGAAGAAAATATGGTAGAATTTTTTTAAAATTTTTTATTTTATAAGTTATATTTGAAATTGTGTGTGTTTTTCGAGCTATTTTTGGAGTTGTTACTGTAGACTCCATAAGTAAAAATAATTTTGAAAAAATGGATAATCCATATGAGACCACACTATATCATTGTGTTTGAAAATCTATCCATTGTATATAGTCCATATGAATTAAGTATTGTTTGGAACCAGTTTTGTTGTATTTTTAAAATTTATTATGATATTTTTAAAAATTTATTATTTTTGACCACCACCCACCACCACCTGCTCCTTTTCCCTCCTCTTTTCTTTTTTCCCTGCCTCTTCTTTCTCCTTATTTTTCCTCTCTCTTTCTCTTTCTCTCCTTCCTCCTCCTCCTCTCCGTTTCCATCCTTTTACACAATCCTCTCTCCTTCATCCCCTTCTCTTGTCTCAACGTGGGGTAAAAAAATTATTGACGCCTCACAATGGTGGGCTAGGTGGGACCAACGGCGATGGAATTGGAAATAGTTAGGGAGGGTGATAATAGATGAGAAAAATAGACATGTATTTTTTTAGTCTTTTAGAGTGGGTATTTTAAAAAATTTATAGTGTTTTTAGGGGTTTTTATAGACGAAATTGTTAAAAATTTTGTGTAATAAAAACATGCCAAAAGAATGCAGCTCCCAAGTTACCGCGTATTTAGAGTGTTTTTGGAGTTACTTTTTTAGTATGTTATTATAGAATCCAAGGATAAAAACATCTATATAGAAAATTCACCATGCAAACAGGGCCTAGATGAGATTCGGGTCAATCAAATTAAAATTAGATTGAGTAGATTGGACGTACCTTAACTCGACTTGAAGATTAGATTCGGCTCAATCAAATCAAAACTAGACCAAATCGAGTCGACCAGCCTTGACTCGGCTCGACTCCTACAGAGTCCTACTCTTCTCAGCCGCCTCACCTCCACATGCAATTCCATGACCAAATATAGGACAGAGATGAACTCATCAGAATCTCCTTTGCCGTTTAATTCTCGAAGTTCCATTTCTTTCCCTTATTTCATTTCTATACGGAAAAATCCCTTCTTTCCTTTCCTTTCCTCCGTGGCAGTTCACAATTGACACACGAGCTCCTTCTCGCTGGCTTGCTCAACAGCAATGGCGTCGTCCTCAAGCGAATCTCAGGCGGTAGGATGTCGTGTTCTCATCATTGTACTGTTTATTACTTATGTACCAGTATTTCTACTAAGTTCAACACGTTTCTACAATTACATCGTCAAGCGGCAATGCAGTAGTATGACTGTATTGGGTTAAGTTTCGGCTAATATATGCTCATTTCACACGCACACAAATCACGCTTACTGTGTGAATGGTGGTTGTTTCTGGTCATGATGAAGACCTTATTTTTGGCGAAAATGTCTCTTTTTTCTTTTTTTTTTTTGGGTCTGTGTTGAGATTATGGTCAGTGTTTGGTGAGTCTGCTGGTTTGGAGAGTGAGAATTTTTGGCAAAGAAAAAGGGGAAAAAAAAACCCCCCAAAAAACAAAAAGTTTTTCTTTTTTTTTTGGGAATCTGAAAAGGGTTTTTCCTAATTGGGTTGATTTTGTCTTTGCATGCAACATCTTAAATGCTTATATCAGTATTTCTTTGTTTTAGAAGTTCACTTTTGGTATTAATTTTTTTGGGGATTCTGCTTGTTCCTTGATATATTTGGATGAAGGGAATGACACTTTTTATTGTATTTAATTGGTGAAAGTTAGAATATTTCCTGTAATGGGGAGTTAAAGATGTCAAATCCTTTGATTTTTGGTCAATTGCTAGTGGGCTCTGTTCTACAGTTTGAATTCCTCTGTTTTTTGTGCTGTTAAAGTTATGTTCCTCGGTATTTTTTCATATCGTACAGCTATGGTTATTGTGTAATGGGCAGTCGGTTAAAGTCTACAGCTATGGTTCACATTACTCGTTTTTTGACTCATGTCTGCCGCATTATAATCGCAACTATGCTCAAGAAAAACCTTGTTCAATTAAACTCAGCAAAAGAGCAATGCTTTGTGTCCACGTATGTATTACCGGGTATGTTAAGTGTTGTTTTGGCATGTGTGTTGGGATGAATTAGGTAGAAAAAAATGAAAAAAAGGAGAAGGAGAAGGGTTGTAATTTTCCTCTGTCATTTTTGGTATTTATTAGTTTTCTTGTGCATGGATTTTTTTTTGTAGTTGTAATGAGTTTTTATTGAAATCGTGCAGAAAATTGCAAAAGGGAAACGTTTCTATACTGTATATTTTTTGTTTGATTTGTCTCTCCTCTCCAGAATTTGTAGCTTTGAGTGGTAGGAGAGGAAATAAATAGGAAATTTATTAAAAATGTTAGCTCTATTATCTTTTGTAGCTCTCTCTCTCTCTCTCTCTGTGCACATGGTTGGACATTAAGAATTTTTAGAAGTGGATAAGAAATGGTATCTTTTGCACTCAATTGCAGAGATCTTGGACCATGAAATATCTTTTTATGTATCCACTTATAGTTTTATGCTAGGTCTGTGGGGAAAGTATGTGGCTACATAATTTGATCTTTTTGTGATTGCCCCACGCATAAAGACTTGAGAACAAAATAGAATCTTCTGTACTATTGCTTTTTTATGTATTTGAAAATTCTTGTTGTCTGATGTTTCTTTTTCCCCCTAGAGGACTGTATGTTTAACTTGTGGTGACAAAGGAGATGAAGGGCTTCTTATCTACTGTATCAACTGCCAAGATTCTGCAGCACACTTGTATGTCCTCTCATTAACTAAATACTTCTTTTCTTGGATTTGATAAATTAAACGTTTGGATTGCTTTCCTATTGGGATGATCTTTCAAGTACTGTGCATCCATCCCTCTTGGCAGATGATGTCAATCCAATTTGAACATACTAAACTGTGAAAGGTGAATTTTACATTGGTGATTGTTTTACTCTTGCAATATAATCTCACATACCACACATTACGAGCATATTGAAACTTTGAAGTTTTTCCATATTTCATAATTGAACTTGCAATGAATGCTTTGCAAGTCAGTTGTTGCCCTTCAAGCATAACTCAAGCTTTTTGGGATGCTTAGTGCTTCTGCACCGTTTAAATCATTTTAGAATCTTTATGCATATTTTAAAAATTTTGAAATTTGTAGTTTTCAGCTTTGTATGTTCAGAAATATCTTTGGATTGCCCAAATGCCTTTGTTTGTCATGGAGATGTTTGTGACTCTACAGCTGAAATTTATTTTAAATAATAAATTGAACCAATGTGTTTGACTATTTGTGTTTGGTTCATGTGACTTTCCAGCTATTGCCTCGATGATTTCTCCTCAACTGATGACCAGTCTGGTTGGAAATGTTGGGATTGTGCACCCAGAATATACAAGGTTGATTCATTCAGAAAAAGTGAAAGAATAAGTATGAGGATAGATAGAGCTATTGATGTTCGGATGAAATTGGAGAAGAAACTGTATTCAAGGAGTTCACTTGCAGGAAGGAAATTTGTTGCAACAAATCATGGAATGGTGGAAACACCTCAGCTGTCGGGAGATAGTTCTTCACCAGTTCTGTGTATGAAGAACTCGTCTGACAGCAATGATGGGAATATTGAACTTAGGGACTATGATAGGCTTAAAGAAAGGTTTGACAAAGTTGAAGCAGAATCCTTGCCATTTACTTCTAACATCCATGATAGTGGTTTTTCTAGTCCAAAGAGGATAAATTATGGAATGACTGAAAAAACTTCCTGCATGCAAAAGGGCAAAGAAAGAAGATGGCAGAAATGGAAGTACTGAAAGCTAAAGATGATCCAAAATGGAAACATTTCGGCTTGCTTTTCTACTGGCAAAGAGAAAACAGAAGCAGTAAATACTAATCAATGCAATTTTTAGGGTCTTTTGTGTCACTCACGTATACATACGCCCGTGTGGTTCTCCGTACAAGAAACTTAAGCTGCACAAAATCCAAAGGTTAAAAGCCATAATATCCTGTCCTGCATCTACCATACCATATGTGTATACCCTCTATCATCATAATTAATGTTCTTGAAAATCATTTGATTTTTTTTTCTTGTTGCATATTTAGGCTACACGCCAACATATATGTTCTTTATGTTGATGGCCAACTAAAAAGATACCCTATTATCCTTCAATTATTGGAGCATAAAAGTTTTGATCCTCAAAATCACTTTGGAGTGAATTGCAGTTTAATCCCTCATCTTCTGACTTTGATGTACCTGAACCTTTTACGTTTTGATTATATGTTTCGATCAAACCCTTGAATCTTTTCTTTTCTTTTTTTTCCATTTTTGGCACGTCTAAATCCTCTTTTTTTTTTCTTCGAATTATCTTTTTTAGGATTCTCAATGGCAAATAATTGGGAAAGAAATTCTAAGGCTAAAATATAAGGGTTCAAAGTAGGATAAAACTAGAAATTAACATGGACCCTAGCAAAAGGCGAAATATAAATATAAGATGTCCTAGCAAAAGAAGAAGAAGAAGACAAAAGAGGTCCTACATCTATATCTATATTCAAATTTGCACGATCAACTTCTTAATTAATTCATAATTGACAAAATCTCAGCGGCTCACCAACGAAATCCTACACGCCCTCCTAATTGAAAATCTCTAAATTGATCTAAATTGATGAAATAAGAAGATTTGTTTGATCATTGATGCTTTGCTACACTCCAAAAATTTGCACATGCTACCAGGATTTTTGCTTAAAGTAACAAAAAATTCTATTGAAATAAAAGATTCTAAACAATAACAAAAACAAGAAAGGGACTGCCACTCTGCCAGCATGGTTGGCTACTTAGACACTTGTCACTTGATGATGCCCATTCTTTTTTCCTCATTTCCTCCTCCTTTATTTTGCTCCAGTATTCTCTCAGGAGACAGCTTCACTTCTGAGCTACCACCCCCCACCCCCACCCCATCCGCTAGCCTCCAAGAAAATATGACTTCTATGGATTTGGACCTCTTCACATAGAATGTCACAATGTGTGTGTTTCCAGTGAGTTTGTGGGGGTGTGTGTGAGAGAGAAAAAATACTGAAGAGGAGGAACAACTAGACAGCCTCACTCACAGCCTGTATGCATGTGTCCAAGGCTCAATTTTTTAGCTTTAGTTTAATCCCTTTAATTTATTATAATTATTCTGCCGCTCTCCCCATCAGTGATTACCTATATGTTTCCTTCATTCCTTCATCTTCTCGATTTATTCAGTAATTTTTCAGAGCTACTCTCCAAAAATTTTGAAGTTTCCTAGGATTATTCTAAACAAAGGGTAATGGACAAATGCCTAATGCCTTTAGTCTCAAGTAAATAAAGATTCAATTTTGATTAGTAGTACTAATTTTGATAGATATTATTGTTATCAGTTGGATTCATTTCTGGGTTTCTAACCTGGGTCCTTTTTTTTGTTTCTTTTTTTTTCGCTCTTCGCAGCATTTTGGCTCAAGTGGGATTCTTGAAATTCGCGTAGAATTGACTTTGGATGGTGTTTTGAGAGAGGTGACAGCACATTGAGGAGAGAAAGAATTCAATTCTCAGAGTAGCAGCCGAGTAGAGTAAAAACACAACCTATTATAGGCTTCTCTAGTCTTTATACAATTTATCTGCAGCATTCGTAATCAGTAGTATCTGTGGGTGCCGCTTCTGCTTGTCCCTAGAGCAAAATTTTTCATCCAATGCCACAGATCTCGAGACCCTTTTGATAAAAGCCAATTCTTTGGTAGTTTTGGACTGTAAAATGAGCTGGGATTTCTGTTTGAGTTAAAGGGAGGGTCTTGTTTACTCCACCTTTCCTTCATTCATGCACGAGAGAGAGAATTGTTGGAAGGATGGCTGAATACAGAGAACTTGACACAGGGCTTTGACTCTTGCGCTTTTGTTTATATTTAAGGGGTTGACCTTTGGTGAAGTGGTACAGAGCCCCACAATCGTAGGAGGGTCGGTGGTTCTGTTTGTTTTTGCCTCTTGCTTTGGATGAAAATCGAGGTAAAAAATAGTAGTATATGTTTTTGAATTTCATCAGTTGTGCTGGTCATTGTTTGATTGGTTAATTCTGGTTGTACTTTAGTTATATAAGCTTTCGTTGTGTTGGGAAGGCAATTTTTACCACTAGAATGTGTGAACAATAGTTGCTTGTTGCTGGTTTTATGGGATTTGGTTAATTGTACCTAGTACAGAGACATGGTTCTTGAATATATGCAGTAAAATATAATATGCACTTGTGTTGAAGGGGTTGCATTGTATGGGTACACGCCTACTGTTTCCCACTGTTTTGTGAGTGAAACGTGGACCGTGAAATTGGCATTAGCAAGGTATTTATGGGGATGGTGGTGGGTATTGTCCAGATCTTGATTTGCTTGAGGAAGTGAGAGGAGAATTTTGGGTTTAATGTGGAATTTTGATTTTAAATTCACTGCAAGAAATGCAGAGGTTTGATGAGGGTAAAGAGGTTTTCTTTGATGCTGTAGAGTCCTTTTCATCTGAGGAGTCTTTTATAGTTAGAGAAGACTTGGATTCTGTCAATTTAGGTTATGACATTTGGTTGAGTGAGCTAAGAAGTGTGAAGGACCGACGAGAGAAATTTTTGGTTTCAATGGGATTTAAAGGGGTTTCATCTGTAAATGATGTGGCACCTAATGAAGAATCTGGGACCATGGGAGCGGACAGGGTCGGAGAATGTAGTGGAGCAGTTAGTTGTTCTTCTTCATCATCTGTAGAGGAAAATTTAGTGTGTGACAGCAGGGAATTGAATGGTGAGGCAAATTGTTTGGTTGAGGAATCCGGGGAGGAATGGTCAGAGAATCTATCCATTATGACAGAAAGGGAAACAGCTGGAAGTCCTAGCTCTGCTTCTGCAGTTGGATGTAGCGAAATGCAGGCTCATGTTGAAAACTACAAAATTGTTGATGTGAAAAAGAAGAAAACTAATGGTTGGTTGAGAAGTTTTTTGTGTAAGATGAAGAAAAGTAGATGCATTGATGCATCCACGGCACAGAAATTTTCTGATGAAGAAAGAAAAATAACTCAGGTGAAAGTTCAACAGAAAAATAAAAAATGTAAGGAATTTACTGCTGTTTACGCTGGACAAGAAATTAGGGCTCACAAAGGCTTAATTTGGACGATGAAGTTCAGTCCTGATGGACAATATCTGTCAACCGGAGGTGAAGATGGGATTGTTCGGATTTGGAGTGTTTCATCAGTAGAAGCCTCCTGTACGACTTCAGCACGTAATTTGCAGAGTAACAACTTAAAAGGGAGCTCCACTTTTAAAAGAAAACAGTCAAGAATTGCATCTATTGTTGTTCCTGAGAAGGTTTTCCACATCAACGAGTCTCCACTACATGAACTTCATGGTCACACCAGTGACATTTTGGACCTAGCTTGGTCCACATCCAATGTGAGTAGATTAGCAGTTAATGACCTTATTTCTTCACGTTTTCATTGTTGCAATCAATTTCTTGGAGTTTCCAGTAGTCCTTAATTTTTATCATGAAGCTAATTTGGAGTTTGTAATGCAGCATCTTTTGTCATCATCCAAGGATAACACTGTTCGTCTATGGCAAGTTGGCTCGAATAAATGCCATTCAATTTTTCTCCACAATAATTATGGTAATTGTCAATCTAATTTTGAGATCCATGGTGCCTAGGCTTGCCATATGTTTTTCTTTTTTGACTTATAAGGTTGCAGCTTTGCCATTAAAAGTCTAATGGTTTTTCTGTTTCCTGTGGATCAGTAACGAGCATTCAGTTCAATCCTGTTGATGAAAGCCACTTCATCAGCGGATCTATTGATGGAATAGTACGAATTTGGGGAGTACAGGAGAAGAGAGTTATAGATTGGGCTGATACACGGGATTTAGTTACAAGTGTACGTTACCAGCCAAATGGGAAAGTAAGATCCAGTTCCATATTAGATATATGAATTGGTAAATAATTCAGCTTAGTATTATGTCTTTTGGAAATTGCCCTTGTGAGACGAAACTGACAGGATATTTGTGCTGATATGATGTAAACAGGGTTTTATAACTGGTTTCATCTCTGGTGCCTGTCGTTTTTATGAAGTATCAGGTATGTAATTTATGCATGTCGCTACTGTCGTTTAAATCTAAAATAAAAGAACCCGTTTGTGTACCTTAGGAGCCACTAAGTATGTTTCCTTGTCATGCAGGCTGTGAACTTTTGCTACGCGCGGAGATGCGAATTAGTGGTAAAAAGAAATCCTCTGGAAGCAGAATAACTGGCATTCAGGTTCTACTACTCGTATTCTAGCTATTTTAGGTATGATTATGTATCTCTAGTTTCAATGCTGCTCACACAGGTTTCTCAATTCTTGCAGTTTCTGGATAATGACTCACAAAGGGTTATGATAACATCTGAAGATTCCAAGATTCGAATACTTGATGGACTTGATATTGTCCACAAATACAAAGGTATAAATTCTGTTCATTCTTGTTTGCTGTAAAGTTTCAAGCTATGATCTTCTATTAAGTGTTTGAATACCTCGTTTTCTGTAAAGTTTCACGTAGCACAAGCTGTTTCATACAGCTTTATCAACTACTACGGTTCTAGAAGTGCCTATTTATGTTCAGTAAAAGATTTATAAAATTACTCGAGTCCATATTGAATGCAGTGTATCAAAAGTCTATCTGATATTTTGTGGATCTGCAGTCTTTGAATGTATTTTTTTTTTTATGAGAATAGTATTTGGATGACACTTTAGATTTTTCACTTGGGGATGTATTGGAACCATGTCCCTGTAAGTTGAATCTACATCTGAATTTT